ATGACACTGAGAGCGTATGCACCAAAGACAAATTCCTTGTGTGTCCAATCACACTTGGCCAATAAAGAATTGAATTGAATTGAATTGAATTGAATTGAATTGAATTGAGTTCTGTTCTGTTCTGTTCTGTTCTGTTCTGTTCTGTTCTGGTGAAAATTTGAAACACAGTTGCTATCTCAGATTCTGAGTACCAGCCAAGTAGCATGCAATATAAATCCAGGACTCTAAATCCAGGTCTCTGCCCCAGTGATGATTTTGAAGCTCCAAGCCAAATCAACAAGAGATGGGGAACAAGAAAGTTCTTTACATTCTGACAGGTCTATTTTTATTCATTAGAATTTTTTTTTCTCAAGATCAGAAAAACAAAGAATTGCCCGAATTTCAAATTGCACTTTCATAACAGGGTCCTGTATGAAACAGGGATCATAATTTATTTCTGGCATGTTGATTTTCCACGTGACTTAGAGATACCCATTGCATGTGATCACAGGGCAAAGAAACCAGCTTAATTTACACTTCCACACCAACTGTTAGTTTCTCTGGACATCCATTAGAGTTTTGGATTCCTTCAGAACATGTTTCCATCTTAACATACATTTATATCCCCTTGGAACTGTTGATATGGTGCTGCCCCAAACAAACCTTCAAACTACAATTTCAGCCATAAAATGGGGGTGTGAGGGAAAGTTTGCACAAGGGGGCAGTTTTCAGACTGGAAAAATAGCAAACACTGCATTTCTGTTACCTGTACCAATAGAATCCAGCTCAGGACATCTGATATTCAAACAAAACATTTTAGCAAGAACGGCTTGAAAAATAGCTCCCATGTCTGCCTTAAGTTTTTTCATTAGATCTCAGACAAAGGTAGAAGAAAAAGAATGCTTAAGTCAGCTAAAGCTAGAAAATACTGGGACTTGAAGAAGGCAGCAAGGACAAAAGACACCACTAACACATCTAGAAATTGTATTTATTTATTTGTATCCTGCCTTTATTATTTTTACAAACAATTCAAGGATTTCATAAACTTGTGCATTTTTTTCTGCCTAAATTTTAAGGCCGAATGCATTATTAAAAACTATAAAAAGAACAACACATCAATAGGACAAATTCATGGAGCAGCTAGTTTTAAAATCAGCACCTGTGCTGGCAGTTTTCTAGGTTTCTAAGGTTTTGAAACTACTGCCCTATCTTCCTTCTTGCTAATAGCAAACTTGGTGACTCCATAGGCATCTAATAAAACTGCTGCTTCCATTCAAGCAGTAGGGAAAGTTTTTCAACTTCTCAGACTAGCTCATGGCACTGGCATTTTCAGGTAGATTCCCAGTCCAAGAATTAATCAGAGCCATCTTCTCTTATGTCAGATATATTCATCTAATAATTTGTTCTATTTACTTATATATCAGTTTGGAATAAGGTACAAAGGACTCTCGATGATGGGGAGGGGGGGGGAGTATCCTCTTTCTCTTCTGAATTGGACATTGCCTGGACTGTAAAACAGGCACTGCTAAAAACATATAGCGCTTCTTCAATGTTTTTAAAAGGTGACATTGTTACTTTCCATTCAGTTTTCCAGAATATCTATCCAACTTCAGGCTCTCTGAACAATTTTCCATCGTTTGTCTTCTTTGACACTTTCCCCTCTGATGACCTCACAAGCTCTCTTCCAAAAGCCTTCACAATATACCCATAAATTTCAGTTCATTAGGAAAAACTTCCTGATCCATGGCTTTTTAGAAATGTCTAAGTACATGGGGAAATGAACTGTAGGAATTCATTCTGTCTATATATTTCTTTTTATGGAAACTTCAAGATGGATCTGCTACAGCAGGTGGTTCCTCAGGGTAAGATATCCTTCAACTACCTTTAGCTTCTGCAGCATTACATAGTCACAACTAAAAAGTGTCCCATAAATGTGATTTATCCCTATCTATAAAAACTGAGGTTCCAGCCTTAAATACAAAATAAAGCAGAGATTCGCCTCAAAGTCCTTCTTAGCTCAAATCTCGGTCTCTCTCCATGTGTTTAGCTTCCACATTTTTGAAAATTTACCCCTTTAGCCTATTACTTCATAGCAAAGTCTAGAACAGTGATGGCTAACCTTTTTTTCCTTGGGTGCCAAAAGCATGTGTGTGCGCGCGATAGTGCACATGCGTGTGCCCACACTCATAATGCAATGCCCCCCATATCCCCCGTACCCCCTGCGCATATACGCACGACCCCCCATGCTCCCCCGCCCCTGCACATGCATGTGCAACACACACACACACACGTGCCCTGTTTTGGGCCTAGCAGGCCTCCCTGAAGCCTCTGGAGGCCAGAAACGCCCCATTTCTGGACTTCTGGGAGGCCTGTTTTTCACCTCCCAGAGCCTCTGCTCAAGCCTTGTACTTACCTGGCATCCAAAACGGGCTGCATGGAGACTCCTGGGAGGGGACAGGTGGCGTGGTCGGGGCCAGCCGAAAATCAGCTGGCCGGTGCACACGCATGCACGGTGCAGCTGACCTAGGGCAACAGCTCGCATGCCTGCAGAGATGGCTCCGTGTGCCACCTGGGGTCTAGAACTTAGGATCAAAAACTGTTCAGCTGATTCAATTTTTATCAGAATATTTTGATCGCAAGTTTTTTTGAAATTGCATCGAATTCTTTCCAGACTAAATTCCTATTAAAGCCTATTAATATATTTCATTAAAATAGCCTACTGACACAAAACATTCACTTTTTGCAATCTTGTTTGGGGGCACGAACAGAGCACCCTTTTTATTTTTTAAAATACCAACTGGCAGTTAAGACATTCACTGATGGAAGTAGTGTGACCAAACACCATTAAATGCTTTAAAACGCTGTGCCGTCAGGCTGCATTCTTAAGAATGCTCACTTTTTACTACCTGACAGTGAAGATAATGGGAACTGTGTCTTAAGTGGCAACACTGTAGGTGCAATTGTATCTCAAGGAATCAAGTGCTCACCCATGTAAACAGCTTTCCAAATATTCAGAAGCTAGAAGCTGTTTTAGAAATCTCAAGGTTAAGCTGAGAAATCTAATAAAGATCAGTCTCCAGCAAAGAGCTGAAAGAAGCAGAGAAACCAGAATATATCCTTTCTAGAACCTATACCAGTGATGGCAAACCTGACACGTGTATCAAAGATGACATGGCGTTTTGGGTGACACACCTGTGTTCATTAACACCTGACAACAAATATTCTCAAAAGCACTCCCTGTTCTTGAGTGATTTTTCGGAGGTTACAGAGACCACATGGGAATGGGGTGTGCTCTCTCACAGCTTACGGAACGCACAAGAGGGGTGTGTTCTCGCACAGCATACGGAGCCTCCAAAAATCGTGGGAGAATGGGGTGTGCTTTCGCCTGGATTTCAGAGGCTGCAGAAGAGTATTTTGCAAAATTGCTTCAAGAATAAAGGCCTCGTGCAACCCAGAGCAGCCTCACATAGGCCACAGGGGCTTGTCAACAGAAAGAGAACCCCACTTGAAGATAAGCAACACATGACAGATCCTAGGAAGCGCTGGGCCATGGGTGCAATTGTGCCTTGGGGCCCCCAGGGGGAGAGCCTTCTCTGTGGGGGCACCTACCCTCTGGAATGAGTTGCCCCCGGAGATACGGCGGATCCCGGATCTTCACACCTTTTGTCATTCCCTAAAGACGTTTTTATTCCAGCAAGCTGGGCTGGCCTAACTCTTTTAAATTGTTTTAATTCTTAAATTGTTAATTATCGGTTTTAATATAGGGGTGTTTTAATTGGCCAAATTAATTTTCTTGGATTTTAATACTGTTTTTAAATTTTGTATTTCTTGTGTTTTATCTGTTGGCTGTTCACCGCCCCGAGTCCTTCGGGAGAAGGGCGGTATATAAATATAAAGAAACAAACAAATAAATAAATAAATGCAAGGCAGCCTGTTTGAGTGGCAGCAGAGGTTGAAGTCCAAGTCTTTACTGTAGGCCTAGTTTCGCGCTGAGTGCTGTTGTTCAGGGTGGCCTAGATTGAAGGTGGGGAAAAGAGAGAATGGTTTCTCTTTTATTGGGATGTGTTATGATACGCCAGCAGTCAGGTTAGACATTTTCTGAATTTGTACATGCCAAGACCAAAAGGTTTGCCATCACTGACCTATACAATACACCCAGAGCAGTGGTGGGATTCAAATTTTTTTACTACCAGTTCTGTAGGCATGGCTTGGTGTGCGTGGCATGGCATGGCTAGGGCGTGGCTTGGTGGGCGTGGCAGGGGAAGGATACTGTAAAATCTCCACTCCCACCCCACTCCAGGGGAAGTTTACTGCAAAATCCCCATTTCCTCCTGATCAGCTGGGACTCGGGAGGCAGAGAATAGATGCGGGCGGGAGCAGTCAGAGGTGGTATTTACCGGTTCTCTGAACTACTCAAAATTTCCACTACCAGTTCTCCAGAACTGGTCAGAACCTGCTGAATACCACTTCTGACCCAGAGATACCAGAAAACTACAGGCTATGTTTCATTTAAAAAGGTTTTAGCGGAACCTCATCCTGGAACATCAGAAATTGTGTTAAAACCACAGATAACTGCAGGGGGAATATAAATAGGGTGTTCTCTGTACCACATTCTTCCATTATAGAGAAAAAAAGGTTGCTTCAGAGAAAGAGCTTGCTTGAGGAAAAGAATTCATTGCATACAGATCCTGCCATCTACTGACAAATCTGTGCTGCACCATCCAAAGCCCACACGCCAACAGTACCTTCGTTAGGACCAACCACCCCTCAAGACTGTGCCCAATACAGCATTGATCTTACTGTATTTTTCAACTAAGGATTTTCGATTTCCCCCTCCTCCAATCAACCAATTATTTCTGCTTTTTATGGACTGTTCGAAATTTTGCTACCTCACTTTGCCAGTTAACTTTTGCTTTGAGAACCTCATCCTACAAATACACACTTGATTTTTTTTAAAAGTCATTTTTCACACCACTTTTAAAATAACACCAGCTTGTAGAGTCAAGAATACAGAGTGACTGTTACTGGGTACAGCAATGCCGCTTTATTTCTCTATTTAAATTCTTTCATTGGTTTTTGCCAATATATGTTCTTGTTATTGTACAACAGCACCAGGATTTGGAAGGGAAAGACAAAGATGGCAAAATTGTCTCCCTCTGATCGCTTTCATAAAGTTGTCAAAAATGCTCTGCAAAATAAGCATGTTGCTTCCTCCCCTTCATCTTAAACCTCTGCCAAGGAAGTGCGCCTTCTGCTTTATCTTCTCTTAAGGACTTCCATCCAATCAAAGTTTTTGCTGGTATTCAATGGTGGATGTCCATCTAGTAGCTGTACCTAGAGTAGCAATCCCTTTTCTCTTCTGCAAGGAAATCATTTTCAACAATAGAACCAGCAAACTAGCAAGAAGATACATTTGTGTAGAAACATATTTTAATCCAATTCATCTGCTCTGATAACATCTTGGAGAAAATGGTCCAAGTCCCTCAACACATCTCTGACTTTGATTCAGAAGCTGGTAACTAAACTTCAAAGAGGGACCCAGTCTGGATTGTTTTGTTTTTTTCACAAACTTTTTTGACAATCCAGGTATGGGGAAAACACACACAGACTTAAAAAAATTCCAAAAGGAGTGCAATGTCCAACTGGAGAACAGTTTTCTTCAGCATCAGAAGGAGGCTTATGAGAAACATCAAAATAGATTGATATCTGAAAACTAGCTCCGACTCTTGTAGCCAATCCAAATTACTAATCCTTTTGGAAGTAGGGGGTGCAAATGTGTGTGTGTGTGGAGGTGTTTCTTCATGTTACAAATTCAACAAACTGAGATACAAGAAACACTTTTCAAAGAATTTGGTCTGCTCAGAAAAGCGAAGCTTGTAAACTTGCATTGCTCAGCTGTTAATCTGTTTATCAGTGTTGCTGGTTACTTCTCATTCGAAGTGGAAAGGAGAAGTAGACTTAGTTGTCATTCTATAATTGGTTTGTAATGGCATCGTGTTTCTCGGAATGATAAAACTGTTCTGCCAACTCAGGCTGGTTTCTTTAGTTTATCTATAGCACGAAAGCTTTCCTTCAACTGCTGTTGCTGCTGCTGTTTCCTTTTCTTTATATCCCGATAAGCTTGGACAACCCGTTCTCTCTCCTCTTGAACGATCCTTTGGCGAGCGAGAGAGGCATGGACTGGTTTTTTAACACTGGCTTTCCTGCCAGAGCCCAAAAGAGGTGTTAGGAGAAGTTGCTGCCTCTGATCACCCTGGAAGAAAAGAAAAATTAGCTGAAGAATCATGAAGAGGAAAAATGGATATGGGTTGAATTTGAGAGCAATCCTGAAGAGAATCAGCTTTAAGAGGAGGATGTCTAAAAAAAATATAAAACCCAGGAACAGTTAGCTTAACATAATACCATTAAATACCAATCAGTAACCTATTCTGAGCCTTGCTGCTGATCAGGTAAATTCCTTCCACAGCAAAAACAGAAGCTTGCATGGCCACTGGCACAATTAGAAAAGAGAAGTAGAACTTTGCTCAATAAAATGACGTACCTTGTCTTTGATAACACTCTTTCTGGGTTTCGCTGTAAGCGTGGGAGGCTGTAGAGCAACTTCTCCAAAATTTATTGAGTCTAAAAGGGAATGGAAAGAAGGCAGTTCCAAATCTGATAATTGCAAAAACAATTCCAAAATAATTCAACATGCTTCTTTCATTATTTCTCACAATCAAGCAAATTTTTAGCCAGAAATCCACTCTAGCCATAGCCACCTGTCAAAAGGATTGTATTTATTTAAAACTCTTTTATGGCCGCCCATGTTCACACATTAACCACAGACAGCTAATAACAATAAAAAATAAAAGCTAAAGCAATCCTGCCACATTACTGCTGGATTGAACAAATTTATACAGCCGCCCAACTCACAAATGGTGATACTTGGAAGTGTACAACATTAAAAATCCAGTTAAATAAAATCCATATTATACCCCCCCTCCCGCATCTGAAAATCAGACTTAATGAAACTTGTGTTATCCTGACTTTTGCACTCGGGTCACAATGTTTTATTATGTGCTTTGTTCTCAGAGATTCTACCCATGATTCCCAGTGACCAACTCGTGACTCCATTATCCACTATAAGATCTCTCTTTCATATTGTGTTTTGAAACAAAAGTTGAGCCGCATTGAAACAAAGAGAAATGAGAAGGAATTGAGCAGTCCCATGCCTACCATATTACCACTCTACTGTATTCTGCAGTAAGCAAGTTTACCAAGCTCTGATACCAATGCAATTGTCTCTTATCTCAGACATCAGCTAAACATAAATCTCTCTCCTAGAAAGAACTTGGTTTGTTCATAAAGAAGTGTCAAAATACACAGCACTAACTCTGTAAGTGATGCAGAAGCGAGCATATTCCATAAGAGTGGCTCTCTGGCAAGATAAACTGATAACCACCTGAAGGACACTAGTGGCTCATTAAAAAGTTTATTCCCCTTTCAGACAAATTACAAGAAGTGGTTTGCTACATAAGCTGCTTCTACTCTTCCAGCCGTACGCAGGGCTTATGATGTGCAGCTCCCCTGATCTACAGAAACTTTGATTGGAATAGATTTTGATTCAGCTGTCCATTTTTGGAGGGGGACAAAAGCAAAAGGATTCAGACTCCTACCAAATAATCAACTCAATCTTATCGTCTAAAGCTATGGACTGGTACTAAGCCCAGCAGCCATGGCTTTTTCCTGGCTTGCTTTATTGTGTAACACTAGACACCGTAATTTCTAAACCATGGCTTTCAGTTTAGCATGCTGGGCAGACTCAATCAATGGCTGTTTATTCAACACACCATTTAAACCAACCAAAGCTTACTGCAATTTGCAAACCTAGTATTGTATCCTGCCTTTATTATTTTTATAAAAAAAACTCAAGGCAGGAAACACAATATTCCTTCCTCCTCTTACTTTCCCCACAACACCTGTGGGATGAATTGGGCTGAGAGAAAGTGATTGGCTCAAAATCACCCAGTCAGCCTTCATGCCTAAGGGGGGACCATGATCTCCTGCTTTCTAGCCTGGTGCACATTAACAATTAGTCCAAACTGACTCCAGAATATATCAGAATTTTGACAGTCTTTCCCGTATGCAGCCATTTACATACAGCATTTCCTCAGAAAAGCTCCACATCTGCTTATCACAATTTACAGTTGAGGGCTTTAAATGCTTTGTGACCCAAGTTGTTGAAGTAGCTGTCCATATCATCATGATCATGGATTAATCTCTTCAGAGAAAATCTTTCTCTAAATGCTAACAGGACAGATTCATCACAAAAAGAGAGCTTTTTTTGCAAGTGCTTTGGAAAGCCCTCTGGAACAGGTCTCATTTGATATCAACTTTATTTTCTTTTTGATTCCATATCAAATACTCCATATTTCTGTTTCTTAGTTGGTCGAATCATTATGAATCTTCTTTACTTTATTATTAATCTTTCTTTAAATCTTTGTATGTGGCTGCCACACAAGGGTTGCTTATAGATGTGGAATAGTACATAGATATTTCATAAATTACTAATCATACTGATAAAATAAATATAACCTCCATCTTTGCTATCAGCCTTCCCCTCTCTATGGAAGTCAGATTCTCTAAATCACTGGGTTGCTACAAAACAAGTTCAGGGGCTTATCTAATTCTATATGAAATGCTACCCAAAATGTACAGAAAAAGTTGGTAGCCAGATGGGAAATTTGTTGCAGGGGCTTAGTATGGATGTCTAAATTGTTGGGCTTTTTTGTTTTGTTTTGTTTTGTTTTGTTGCATGTGTGGTGTGTGTGTGTGTATGTGTGTGTCTGTACCTCGCTCCTCAACCAAACTTTTGCTACAGTAGCTGAAGCCCCTTTGAGTTTTATGTGTGTGTGTTTTCATTGTTGCCTGGGTTGTTTTGTTGCTTTGTTCTTATTGTTATAGGGTTTAACTGTACTTTTTTTACTTCATGGAGTGCCCGAAATTGCTGGGATTTGTGATTTGTACCAAATTAGCACACAAACAAATAAATAAATATTGAAGGAGAAGTTTTTAAAAGATCCATGAAATAGCATCTACAATGATGCAAAAACATTACAAGGCGGTGGCAGTATTTTCTGGGCAAATTATTACCCTACCTTTGAGAAGGTCCTTCTCGAGCATTGTTATTTTTTTCTCTGTTTTTTGCTTACGGATTTTTTCCAGCCTCTTCTTCTGAAATCTAGAGAAACAGACTTCGTTAAACAAAGGATACAGAAATTTCAGAGCTGTCCATGGGCATGTCAGGAAAGAACCATTCACAGCCGGAAATAAAGAGGCCATAAAGCTCTTCATACAGCGATAAGAATCAATGTATCCTCTATCCAATAAAGGATGTTACAGTAAGCATGTAAACTTGGAACCACTTTTAAATTCCACTGCAGTTTGTAGGGAGTAGTATGGTCTTAACTGACACAGAATCAAGATGAAAAATAAACATTCCAGACTGAAAGGAATTGCTACTATTAACCAAAAGAACAGGACTGAGTTAAGGCACAGAAGAGGAAGAAGAGATATTGTTATTAATAACTAATTCATTTCCTCCTCTCCTAAATGGAACATGCTTCAGGAGTTCCTGAAGGATGGAATTCTTACATGTAAGTTCTGGGGTTAATTGTACATTTGGTGAGCAGAGGTCGGTAATAACCTTTAAGGCCTAATGGCTAGAGAGATTGACAGTGGTTTGGGAAAATCCTGTATTCAGTCATAACATACTGGCCAAAAAGTTAACTTTATGGAATTGTTATGAGGATGAAATAAGGAAAACTGGATTATCAGTAACAAATTCATCTCAAGGCTTTCAGACTGTAAAAGGTAAAGGTAAAGGTTCCCCTCGCACATCCTCTATGTGCTAATCATTCCCAACTCTAGGGGCGGTGCTCATCTCCATTTCAAAGCTGAAGAGCCAGCGCTGTCCAAAGACGTCTCCATGGTCATGTCGCCGGCATAACTAAACGCCAAAGGCAAACACTGTTTTGGACTGTAGCGCCGCCCTAATTCAAGGGCTGCAAATTCAAACTTAACTCTTTTTTCTTCTGTGACTTTTCTTGGACTTTTATCTCTTTTTCAGGCTCACGCTGTGTCTGGTTTTCAGTGAGAAAGCGCACGTGCTCAATTTCCCGGTCCATACGTCTATTGTATGAGGTCTGAGTTTCCCCTCGCCGTCTCTTGAACTTCGGTACTGGTATGTCACCCTCTGACTGAGGCCTCTGCTTATTTGCTGCGACAAAAACACAGATGTTATAATCTGCCCAACAACTTTCATGGACATTGTAGGAAACAGATAGAGCCCCTAATCTAGTCACTCTGCAAAATACCGACAGATAGCTCAGCAAATAAGAGTTATCTGTCAATAAAGTAATCTGATATTTAAAAGCAATTTTCTAGGATCTGTAGGAAAAAGGTATTCTGCTATTAACAAGCCATCTTGGATTTCTCTAGCTGTACAGCACCATTATTTTATGGCCCATGTGCAGTATTAGAGAGTAACCAAATATAATATTGAATTTAGTAATTAGATGCAAGTATGGTACCTATTTGCATTGTACCCTTGGTTACTAGAGAACTACTTAAAGCAAGCACTTGGGGATCCCCAGCCATAAGGGCATATCTGAAATGTTGGTCCAAAATGGATTTACAAAAGTATTGTCCGCATTTACTCTGTAACCTGTATTCCCTCCATGTAAACGTAAAAGAGTTGCAACTCTACAGTATACAAATATAGCATGTTTGTATGCATGTTATACTACTATAAAAAGGGGTGGATTTATTTATCTAATTTATTAGACTTAGGTTTTGATGATAAGCAGCTTCTTTATTATTTATTTAGAGGGCTGATGGCAAGCTCTGAGGCAAATTGGATAGGCTAAACAAAATGTGTGGTTTGAGTCAATATTTTGCTTAAATTATTCAGTGTTCTTTCTCTGCAGAAAATTTGTTCATTTATTTAAAACATTTATATAACCGCCCATCTTCCAACCAATCCAAAATGGGATTTTCTTTGTTTTTAAAACTGCTTTAAGCTATGTTGGGGCATATCCTAGAGTTTTTCTATATTTTCTTTTCCAAAGCATTGAGAAATTGTTCCACTAATTTTCAGTGCCATAACAGAGAATTTAAGGGGAAGGACCAAAAAGGAGAGTGAGAATCCCATGCAGCTCTGGAGTCCCAGAGTCTTCCATCCTTCTGATAAAAAAAATCCTTATAAGGCAGACTCCCTCAAACTAATACCATCCAGGAGAGTTGTCAAGATGACACTTCCCAAGAATTTTTGGCTAGTTGCTGGAACATATACTGAATATCAAATCATAAAGCTGCTTTTTACCAGCTTTCTTCTTCTTGCGGGTGGGGTTTTTTAGTTCATTTCGGCTCCTCATGATTTCTCTCAACCGATATGGAATTTCTTGCTGATTCAGGCAATCTGGTTTTGAATTTGCCTTTTTCTTCACATGGCTAAAATTAAAACAAGAGAGAAAGATTGGTACGGTTAACATCATTATTATTATTATTATTATCTCTTTTATTCATTAAACATGAAACTCAGTCAACTTTATTATTGTTGTTATTGCTATTATTGTTATTATTAATCATCGCACAGTCAGACAGATGTTCAGACTGGATTTGGCATTTTTGCCCACCTATCAAGTCCTTACCAAGGACCTGGGATAGGCAGATTTGGATGTTTGACGGTGTAACAGATATCGTCGCAGGATGGAAGCAGTTCCAAGTAAAGCCGCCTTCTCCAATTGACTGAGGGCAAATTTGTCAATGCCTATGGTGTTCAAGTGGTGCTCCAGTTGCTTTGGGATTGCACCCAAGGCGCCTATTACTATTGGTACTACCGTTGCTTGCCTTTGTCACAAGTCATTCTAGTTCTATTTGTAAGTCTTTGTATTTTGTTATCTTCTCCGGTTCTTTCTCTTCTCTTCTGCTGTCTCCAGGCATCAGCATCAAATAATAATAACAACAACAACATACAATCTAACCTAGGTGAGTTGAAAGATGCATTATGACAGATGCAAGCATTTGTCTCACATTTTCGTATCTTGCTCTGTAATGGAATTTCAACCACCTCATTCAGCAGAATGAATGAGATGATGCTGGAAGCACATATATTAGTCTGAATTAGTACCATAGCCAGCCCTATATTTAAAGTGGTCTTTCAGTAGCTCTGATGGCTCAGCAGACTAATTAACATCCACTTACATCTGCTGCCTGCAATTACTGCAAGTTCAAATCTCACCAGGCTCAAGGTTGACTCAGCCTTCCATCCTTTCTAAGGTAGGTAAAATGAGGACCCAGATTGTGGGGGCAATAAACTGGCTTTGAATAAATATACAAAAGTATGAAGGCTATTGCTTAACGCATTGTAAGCCGCCCTGAGTCTCCGGAGAAGGGCGGCATATAAATCAAATTAAAAAACAAAAAAAGTATTCATCAGGGGTGTTCTTCATCTTTCAGGTGCCCCCCACATCCTAAGAAAAGCATGTTAGTCTACCATAACTTTAAAAAATTGTTAATACCATATCTTTCTCCACAAAGGAAAGAAAGAATGAATACCGGTATGTCATAAATATGATATCTTGTTGCTACTGCTTACAATCTAATCCAGACCCATGTTCACAATGGGTCTATCACAGGTATCTGAAAGGCATGTGGTGGCACATCTCTTTGATCTCTGGTATCATAACAATTACATAATGAGCAACACTTCAAATTGAATCCCCCCCCTCCAGCATAGACCTGGAGACATTTGTAAGCATTTCCACGGTGCTGGGAAAGGAGATATAACATATAGAAATCTTAATATTGCTGGCTAATAAGTAAGATAAATTATAGCAACCTTTCATAGATTATGATGATTATTATGACTTCAGTTCCCAGTATTCTCAGGCATTATGATCATTGGGAAGATGAAAAATGCTAGTAAGGAAGAGGTTTTATTATTATGGTTGGTTGCATAGTCCGCCAGATGTTTAGACGGGATTTGGCAGTTTTATCCAACTATTGAGTCCTTCCCAAGGACGTGGGATAGGCAGATGTTATTGCTTGATAGTGTCAAAGTATCATCCCAGGATGTAGATTGTTCCAAATAAAGCTGCCTTTTGAAATCGACTGATGGGGATTTTGTCAATGCCAATGGTGTTCCAGGGATGCTCCATATGTTTTGGGATTGCACCCAAGGCACCTATTACTATTTGTACTATCTTTGGTTTCTTTTGCCAGTCATTCCACTTCTATTTGCAAGTTTTATTTTGTGATTTTTTTTCCAGTTGCTTCTTTTCTACTGCCTCTAGGTACTGCCAACACCTATGGTACTACCCAGACTTTTTTTTTGTCTTTTTTATTGACAATTGTTGAGTCTGGGGTGCTAGGTAGCAGGTGTTTATCTATGTACCGCCTTATCTCCGAGACCGCCTTCTGCCACTGACGACCTCCCATCGACCCGTGCGCTCCCACAGAGAGGGCCTCCTCGGGGTGCCATCAGCCAAGCAATGCAGGCTGGTGACCCCCAGGGGGAGGGCCTTCTCTGTGGGGGCACCCACCCTCTGGAATCAGCTGCCCCCAGAGATAAGGAGAATCCAAGACCTCCGTGCCTTCCGCCGTGCCCTTAAAACTTTCCTTTTCCAACAAGCCGGGCTGGCCTAACAAATCCTTTTAAATGATTTTAAATTTGTATGTTTTTTTTTAATTCTTGGCCAAATTGAGATATTTCCTTTTAATCTGTTCTTAATGTTTATATTATGTGTTTTTATCTGGCTGTACACCGCCCTGAGTTCCCAGGAAGAAGGGCGGTATATAAATTTGAAGTAAAATAAAATAAAAATAAATGTACGTTTTAAACTTCCAGAGCACTTTTAGCTTCTTCGTTTTCTTTTACTCTGCCTGTTTTGGGTTCTCCCCAATTCTTGCATGCAGGCAAAGGGTATTTTTTGCAGATATCATTATTCCATTTTCATATATAATTCAAGATAGCATCCTTCCTTCCTTAATATTCCTGCCTCCTATTTTCCCTACAACAACCGGGTGAGGAGTGTTGGGGCAAGAGAGTGGGAGCAAAGAATAAACACGTGCAGAATCAAGCCGTAGCCAGTTAGTTCTACAATTAGTAATCCCAATTAGTTCTACATTGACTGGGCAACCTCAAACATGATTGTTACGATTGAGTGGTAAGTGAGTTAAGATGGTAATAAAACTGGTCAACCCCACGGGGTTGTTTTACCTGTCACTGACACAGAATAAGCAAAGTGCTTTAAATTGCACACACACACTTACTCACACCCAAAAAAAAGCTCACCGGATTGATACAGACCTACTACGGGGGAGAAGCCCCTTCCGCGGAGCAGCGGAAGCCACAGCAACTTTCTTCTCTTTTTTGCCCATCGCCGCTTCTGACAAACGCACCCACGTGCTGCAGTCGCTTCCTAGCTCAGTCTTCCCTTGCTTAGGCACTCTATTCCCCGCCTTCTTCCGGGGGGGTGGTGCAATTTCCCCGTCCATCAGCGCTCTCCGATTGGTGAAGCTCGTCACTTCTATCGGAAGTTAGGGCAGAATCGAGATCGCTATTGGACGAAGGAGACGTCACTACCTGCAGGCGGCGAAGGAGACAGGGTTGCCTAAGGGCGCCCGGAGAGATGTTGCAATTGGGGGTTTTCTGCCGCCGCCGCGGGTTGGCAGGTACTTTTGGTACATCAGAAGCGGGTCAGGTGAGCATTTTAGCCGGGAGAAATAGTGGGTAAAATCACAGTTTAGCTGCGTTTACAAAACGCTAAGGGCGGGTTGCTTGTTTACCAAATAAACCAAAGTGGTACATTTTCAATTAAACAAGCCCATTAGGTTTATTCTGTTTCAACCACTATTATGATTTAAATGTCTGATCTTGCCAATGTTTATTTGGAATGCAGTCAAGTTGTCTTCAGTTTACCAGTCCGAGAGTGTTCAGTCCTTAGTGTTGAAGGATTATCCTGCCCCAAACTCTCCTTTAAATTCTTTTTTCAATCATTTCTGATTCTAAGGTCCTTTGACGTTAGCATCTTCCTTAGGATTCAGTAGAGTACTAAAATAATAATCACGTTTCCAAGTTCTCCAGATTGTTTGTCAGTGCTGGATGTTCAGCAAAGGAGAATCATAACCACAAAGAGTGCCAAAAATTGCTTCCTGGTTCGCATCTAGAACAGGATTTGGCCACCAGAAGCCAGATGATGTGTTGGATGTTAATTCTTGTCAGTTCCAGCCAACACAGGCAATGGTAAGGGATTGAGCTATTTGGATACACCAGGTTGGAAACTACATGCTATCATGGTTTCAGGATTGAGAAAGAAATGTTCAGTACTGTGTTCAATAGACGATTTTATGAAACTGTAAAACAGACAATCCATAGGTTCCTTCTTAGTGTAGGAAGTTAGCACCCACCCCTTTCCTAGAAGAATGAAATATTTTAATAAATATTAAAAAGGCAGAATATTATGTTTCCCTGGATGAGAAATGGAGAAGTATGTTTTAAAGACGAAGCAGCTCCCACCTTCTTGCCCCCCCCTTGTCAATGGGCCAGAGGCAGAAACTCAATTCCCTCCCATCTTTGTCAGTGGACTATCATCTGCAACACAATAGGACCCATCTAGCAACAGAAACGAACACAATAGGACCCATCTAGCAACAGAAACTCACCACATGGCACCTGGGAAGATTACATCAGCCAGCAAGGCTAGCTAAGACCCCCACCCCCTTGGAATCTGATAACCAATCAGGATACTCTTTCGGGGCCCCAGGAAGTTCAAAGCCAGAGCAGGCATAAAACCCGGGGACTCGCTGCATCTCGGCCCTTTTCTGTTTGGGAACTCAAACCATGTGATCCTGTCCACCATTAAACCCATCTTTCCAAGCAGTCTCCATGTTTCCAGTGTCTTTTTCCCCACTTGGAGCTGAACCCAGAAGGATAATTCTTCCTACATTAGAGAACAGAAATAAGGAGAAATGGGACATTAATATAAACTAAGATTAATTTTAGAGTATATATTAATTTAAATAACACTTGTATTGGTGCAAAATCCACACACCGAGATTTGACACACAAGGAATTTGTCTTGGTACATACGCTCTCAGTGTACATAAAAGAAAAGATACGTTCATCAAGAATCATAAGGTACAACACTTAATGATAGTCATAGGGAACAAATAAGCAATCTATTAGGAAACAGTCAGTATAAACCATAAGGATACCAGCAACAAGGTTACAGTCATACAGTCATAAGTGTGAGGAGATGGGTGATAGGAACAATGAGATTAATAGTAATGCAGACTTAATAACTAGTTTGACAGTGTTGAGAGAATTATTTGTTTAGAAGAGTGATGGCATTTGGGAAAAAAACTGTTCTTGTGTCTAGTTGTTCTGATGTGCAGTGCTGTATAGCGTCGTTTTGAGGGTAGGAGTTGAAACAGTTTATGTCCAGGATGCGGGGTCTGTAAATATTTTCACAGCCCTCTTTTTGACTTGTGCAGTATACAGGTCCTCAATGGAAGGCAGGTTGGTAGGAATTGTTTTTTCTGCAGTTCTAATTATCCTCTGAAGTCTGTGTCTGTCTTGTTGGGTTGAAGAACCCAACCAGACAGTTATAGAGGTGCAGATGACAGACTCAATAATTCCTCTGTAGAACTGTATCAGCAGCTCCTTGGGCAGTTTGAGCTAATAATGCATTCCAAAGTCAACTTTCTCATACCAGGTCAAAATTATTTTAAATCTGAATCTCCTTAAATGCATAGTATTCAGCATTCTACCGTTTCCCTGAAAATAAGACATCCCCTGATAATAAGCCCAATCGGGCTTTTGAGCGCATGCGCTAAAATAAGCCTCCCCCTGAAAATAAGCCCTTCCCGAAAATATTTAAACGCAGAGCTGGAAATCAGGTAAGACGGCAAGAGGAGCTCCATCTTGTTCCACGCGCCCTAAAATAATAAGACCTCCCCGAAAATAAGGCCAAGCGCTTATTTCGGGGTTCAAAAACGATATGACAAGGGTCTTATTTTTAGGGAAACACGGTATGTAGAAGGTCATACATCAGAAAAAAGAGTTGGGATCTCACCACAACTTGGTTGATTTTTGTTTTCAGAGCATCGTCAAGAGAGTGAAATGCTGTCGCTTACGTACTGAACCAAAAGTCACGAGTGGAACGTAACCCACATCTTGTAGGCATGATATATTTCCGGAAAAATAAGTGAAATTCTGTAGGTCGTATCTTTGCTTGGTTTGTTTTCAAAGATGGGTTGGATGTCCTGGAAATAAGAGAGAAGTGAGATATAGACACATTGGGATTTAATTTTGTTTTTGTTCTTACCAGAAGTATATATATCTGTTTTGGGGCCCTGAGGCTAGTGATACAGCAGCACTGGCCCTACTGAAAAGATCCTTCCATGGGAGGCTGGTAAATATAGGCTGGCTCCCTGGAGCACTACTAAAGGGTGGACAGCGTCGCTTCTGTGCAGATGCAGAGAATGGGAACAACACCCAAAAGGCTGCTTCCCTGAAGGATAAGTCCTGCTCCCAGAAGGAAACTGCTTCTTCAGGCACTTGTTTTGCCACCCCACCAACGCTTCTCCCTCCCACAACGTGTTGTATGAGTGGATGCCACAACTGTGTCTGGATTGCTTATGCAGAAGAGGTTCTGAAATACTACAAGGATGGTGGCGAGCAAGCTTTGGCAGCTGTGGAGAAACATATAGAGGATGAAAATATTAAAATGTTCCTGAAGATGGAAATTAAGTTCCGGATGAAGAAAGACTGACATTTTTGACCTGATGCACATTTATCACATGGTTTTGGACTATAGGAGACTTTGAAGAGGAAAAGCTAATTATTTATGGTTCCTTCTGTAAGAGATGATATATTTTAATTTATATAAAGAGTTCTAATGACTGTGTGTCTATTATTGTATTACTGTCTTCTTTTAAAATTTAATCTACTTAAACCAGAGGGATGATATTTGGTATGACCGGCTATTTTCATTAACTGAGTTTGTGCTTCACATGTTTTCGGAATGTCACATTGATCACATAGATCAGGGGTGTCAAACTCGTGTCGTCACGTTGTCACGTGATATATCAGTGACTTTCTTCCCTTTTGCTAAAATGGGGGTGGGCGTGGCCAGCATGTGATGCATCTGGTCCCCGGCTGTGAGTTTGACACCCTTGTCATAGATGGAATTATAGTAAAGGAGTTCTGATTTAAGTGGGCAGCTAGGAACAAATGGATCCCTTTGTCAAATAAACATGTGCCAAACTTCAGCCCCAACATCTTTTAGTAGAAAGTAGGATCACTCACTACAGTGAACCAGTATCTTTTTCAGTGTGGTTGCTGAACAAGCTGTAATGTGTTTATAGATAACCCTAAGCCTTAAAGGTTGGGTTCATACATTATGTTAAGCTAAAAATAAATAGGCCCCGTTGTGGTCTCGCATCATGTCTCTAAACCAGACGTACAAGATATTCCCAGGAGATTGATTTATATATTGACCAGACCTAGCTTTACGTTTGTTAGTGTATCTTTGCTTTCAGATCACAACCCAGGATAACTCCTTTAGGATCCATTGATCTCCTTTCCCCATCAGCTTGCTGAAATGCAAAAGCTCCTGGGCTAAATCTTAAGTCACTCTGAATAGCTATAAAATGCTTATATTGCTGCTCTGTGGTAAAAAGAAATATCTGCTCCATCTGCCAGCAGGTATGATACTGCAGAATTGAAGGAAAGTATATTCTGAACTTTGCAATTTACCATGACACTAAATACCATTGCAGAGCTGTACCTCTAGCTCACAGGAAGACTACTGCAACCAGCTGGTTGACTGGCTGGCCAGTGAGGAGCCAATCTGGCCTCATCTTTTATCTAGGGAAGAATCTATTATTCCATTCTCTTTCCCCTTTTATTTCTATCGGAGGCTGAAAACAGGGGTATGCTTGTTTTTCATATCTTCACAGCACTTGGAATGTTACAAATATTTTAGGTGAATAATAATGATCATGTACACTATATCTATGAATCAGGCTATAAACCGGGAGGTTGTGAGTTCTACCCCTACCTTGGAGTCAAAGCCAGCTGGATGACCATGGACCAGCCAGTATTTCTCTTAGCCTTAGGAAGGAGGCTTTGGCAAACCACTTTCGAAAATCTTTCCCAAGAAAACTGAGGGGACTAGTCCAGGCAATCACGAAGGAGTCAACACTGATTCAAAGGTGCACAGATACTCACGAAGTACACTATAGACTACTTCCAGATGTTGGTTGTGTTGACCTGCTGTCATGTCTGAATGCAGCTATCTTCTGTATTTTACTTTTGCTTAGGGGCACACTGTGCACAATTCCATCATCTGCACTACTCTCCTTAAGAAATCTCAATTTTTATTTTGATGTAGTGGTATTAATGCAATGGCACTTTATAGAGCAATATTTATTTCCCATACATGCTGCCTTTTCTCCAAGTCAGTAAGACCTCCGCACAGTATGTAGGGTTGGTACACCCACACTGTGATAATGTGATATTTGGTTTTTGCCAAGTACAGTTTGTGGATCCAGCGCACTTTGTTGTATGCCACTTTTGGTGAGATGGGAAGCTATGATTGATAGAGTACAGTAGATATCATAGATAGAGTCTTTTAAGGGTTTAGCATATTTGCAAACTCATCCATTTAACCAGTGAATCATAACTACTCTGGGTGAATCACAAATGTAGTTATGTTGAGAAGATTAGTCTGAGAGTAATTAAATTGAGCTCATTTGATGAGCTTCACAGCTGAGCATGGAACTGAAGTGACTACAGAACTATGCATTACTGTACACTACATTCTAAATCTGTATTTATCTTGTGCTTTTGTTTTCTTTCCCCTATAGTTTTTATAATAAGATGGATAATTACTGGATTACTGGAACTTGCAAACTCATTACGTGGATAGCTTGCTTTTGGCATAGCATGTCAGCAACTGTTCTCTATTCTGTATATGATGGTTAGAGTAAAGTAGGTCTACCATATTTGGCTTGCAAAATCCAGGCAACCAGTAGATGGCAACAAAGAGATAAAGAAAATCCTGACTCTGCTTCCATTGGAAGTTTGCAGCCTGATCTTGTAGCTGCAGTTCAGCAAACTCTTAGTATAACTTACTGCATTGTGTCAATTCAACCATTAAGTCTGCATCAGTGGGAAGCACTTTCCGTTTATAATTTACAAAGAGACCTCAAAAATGTTTCATGTTTTATACAGAGGGAAACTGAGAAACTTTCTGCTTAGATGACCTTAGCAGTGAACGTCTGCATAGAGAATGCCATAGGAAGCAGTGGTGATAAATCTCTTCCTAGTCATTGGCTATGTCGCATTATAGCTTGTTATACTAGGCTTATCAGTAAATGTAATGTGTCATCTGAATTTGATCTATGGGTCAAACTGTGTTCCGGGCAGAGTGTTTTACAATTAGCTTCACTCAAAGTTACTTTAACTTATCACCCCAGGATTTACTTGTTGACCAGCTATGGATGTAGGGTTTGTGGTTAACCTCTGGACAAAACTCAAGAGGCAGAACATCACATGGAAATGGCACATGGAGAGGTAAGTAAAGCAGGACCCAAAGGGAATGGAAGGACATAAATCCTTCTGCCCCTTTCACAGTATCTCTGTTCTATAACACTGAGGTGGTTATTTTTAACTGAACAGTAACAAAGAGGAGGCGAGATGTCACCTCTCTCGCTTTAATCGCTGCTTACCAGTGAGTTGTGTTTGGTCTTGCATTGCTGTGTCATCCGGTGCCAGATACCATAGCAAGGACATACTTTATCCATGGTTACTGCCTGATTAGCCACTGTGCAGTCAGGCAGCCCTGACCTTTATTTATGAAGTCCTTACACCCACTCTATTGTCAGTATTAGACACGGGTGAAAGAATTGAATGGGTTACATTGTCCTCTACTTTTTTTCCATCAGTGGAAAATAACTTTGGAAGATCTTAGCTGACAACTGCCATTGCTGTAACTTTGCAGTCAACTGTTTCTTGCTTTTCAGAAGGGCCACAAGATCTTGTTACGGGCTGGATTCGTGCAACAAACGATTTAAGGTTTAACAAGATGTTTGAACATATCCGTTGCAATTGTTAGATAATGACTTACCGGTATATCCAAATGTATTGTAGGAATCCAATGATTGGTGGTTGATTCAGTACACACTGGTTAAGCCAAGCATAGCTTACTGTTATATATGAATGAGACAGGGGCATCTGTTGACTTTTTATAGGCAGTAAAAGAACAAAACCCAAAGTTTGGGTCCTTGATTGTAAAGCAAATGAGGGAGGTGAGTCCTTGCTATCATGGTTGTTAGTTGCCCCTGACTAAAAAAAAATATCCCCCCACCTTAGCCAGATTTCTACCTTGAATGCTTTAAAGAGTAAAATTCAGATGAAAAGAAAAATCGGCAGGAAACTTAACTGTGTCTGTTTCATTTTGTTCAAAGAACCAATTTGATAAGCTGGCAATCTAGCATGACAATTGTTCCTTTTAACTGGAATAATTCTTTGTGATCATATTAACTGTTCTCATTTTCAAAACCTACAGTAGGAGCCCCATTTCAGAATATAATTGAATGGGTGGAATTTAGGCATTTTTGACTAGATTGTTTCATGCCTAGGGGAACAAGCTGTCCTTGCAGATTTCTCTGTTTGCCAGAATAACAGTAACTCTGCTATCTCCTTTCCTAGCTGCTTTCTCTGAAATCAGGGTATAGAAAGCATTACCATGGATTCATTTACAGGGTGCTAGAAGTGGGCCCGGGAGGTTTTTGTCTCTAAAGTCAACAGAGGCAAATATTTAAAACTTATCCCAGTAACATTGCTTAAAAATATTTTTATTGTAATATTTAAACATTAAAAATAGTTCAAATTTTAAAATGTGGTATAGAAAATATACAAGCCATCCTCGATGTACAACCATTTGTTTAATGACTGTATAACGACAATGCTAAAAGTGACTTATAACCGGTCCTCACACTTAAGACTGTCGCAGCATCCCTGTGATCAATGATCAAAACGTGGGCACTTGGCAACTAATATGTATTTACGATATTTGCAGCATCTTCTATCTAGAGGGTCATGTGATTATGATTCCCAGGAGGCTTCCAACAAGCAAGGTCAATAGGGGAAACGGCATTCACTTAACAACCCCTGACAAAATGGTCATAAAATTGGGTGCAACTCACTTAATAACTGTATCACTTAATGACAGAAGTTCCAGTTCCATTTGTGTTTGTAAGTCAGTGACTACTTGTATGACTACTTCCTCACCCTGACCTAAGCACACAATAAACAATGTATCTATAAACTAGGGATGATACTGGATTAAAAACAAGAGTCATAAACCTATTATGAGGAATATAATACATTGTAACACCTCTGAACCCTCCAGAACAAGTTTTGACCAACTACGGATACATATTATAAAGGCTGACTCATATAGACCTGCTATCATCATTAAGACTTGCAATAGGGATTTGAGTGGGTGCATCTTTAACTTCTGGTAAGTAACCGAAAGTTTCTATCAGTTTTTAGTCACCAGCCAATTTATTCCACCCACCTTCCAGCTGTTACATTCTTCTAGAGCTAGTTGTGGTTGTTTTTCCATCTGCAAGGAAGAGACCCAGGTGGGTGGTTTTTAAACAAAGCTGGTTTGGGTAATTCACCGTTTCTGACTAACTTTTTTCCTAGGATAATGAATGTGTTGTGCAATTTAAATGAGGCTAAAATAATGCAAGTCTAAATGCAAACAAGACTGAAATTCCATGGAAGAATTGGAGTTCAGCTATCAAAGCTTCTACAGTTTTTGGTAGCATGAGAAGAGGATCTTGGCTAGCCACAAAGGGTAATTAAAATAGTAGGCTCTGGTTATATTCATCGATGTGAGAGAAGCAGCTAGGTTTGCAAAATGTTAAAAAGTTTCTAGGAAAAAGGTGAAAATGTAAGCTTTTGTGAAGGTAGATTGCAGGTAGATTGGAGGTGTGTCTGTATGTGTATGTTCTTAGCCCATGGAAAATGTCCCAGGGGTGGGAGATGGAAGGCAAATTCTTCCAAATTTACTTGCCGGATGAATTGTGGAATCCATGATTTCTGGCATTTTACCCTGAAAAAGGTAACATTGCTCTTGCAGGGCTGAATTTATCAAGATGGGTGATAGAATAGCTTTGAGAAAATTAATAAGAGCTGATGAAACAAACCAAGAAAATCCTTTTCCATCCTGGGAACAAGCCTAAAACTACTTAAGGGGGAGTGGAGCACTCTAATCAGATTAGCATCTTTTCAGGGATTTGAATGTGTCACCCTGGATGAGACTAATGTTGTTTTATCCCATTGTTCTATCTGGATGGCAGCCAATAACTGGTGCTAAATTGCCCAAAGTAAAACCCCTGGATCTGCTGAGGATATGTCTCTGCACCAAAGCAAATGCAAGGATTCATTAAACCCAGTCTTCCTCCAGAATGATGCTCAATAGCGCGCGCGCACACACACACACACACACACACACCTGTCTGCTGCCAGTATTGTGCCTGGCAAGTGGACTGTCTGCACAGTGATGATCAGTTTAGCATAGGGCTCTGGTGAAATATTCTTCTACCGTAGTATCTTACTGTGTTGTTCTCCTCAGTCTCATTTCTAGTGATGGAAACAGAAAGCATTAGGTGATCTCAATGCAACAGGAAAATGCTTGAGCAAGCCAGATCTTAGCAGTGCCAAGGAAAGAAACCAGATATTTTCTGGATCACAGCCTGATTTTTCTGATTGGCTCTGAAAATTTAGTGTTTTCAGAAGAACCGGTACTTCAGCATCAGAGTTGCATAAATAGACCCCAACCCAAGTATGTACATCAAACCTTCCTAGTCACATAATTAAAGCAAAGAACAGTCAGTACATCACCTGCAAGCACTTCCCACAGGGACAGATCCTATGAAGTGGGGACAATTATGCAATCAATTGTTACTTCATTACGCAATCTTAGTGCATGGCTGGGTTCACACATATGGTATGTTAAATGAACTTCTCTGTTGATTTCTTTTGTCCAGGTCTTAGAATTATAGAGCTGCAAGGGTCCTTTGAAATCCTTGAGTCCCACCCTCTGATTAGTCCAGTTTAAAACATCGCAGATGGATAGTTGCTTAGCTTCTCCTTCAACACATCCAATGGATCAGGGATAGTATTCACTTACCTTCGCTGCAGGTTCGCAAATGTGAGCATGCACAGGACCTTCCGTGCATGTACAGAGCATCAAAAATGGGACATGATTACGTCCAGGCGGGTGGGTGAAGCCTCCTGCCGCTGCTGGTTTGTCCAAACCGGATAGAACCAGCTGAATACCACCACTGCAGTGGATTAATGAATGACATCCATCACCTCTCAGTTAATTTGCTCTTACTGTTCAGAAACATTTTCTGATGTTTAAGTGGGTTTGCCTTCTAACAATATATTCCTTGAGGAACTGCAAACACAGTTTCTAGGTGACATATTTCAACTGCATCTAATGATAGACTCCAGAATTATTTTTTCTTTTTCTTTTTTATCTAACAGATTAAAACCCACCAGAATCAGGCGGGCTTTTGTTCAAAAGCAACGTTCTTTCATCCCAGCCATGAACCTTGAAGTTCCAAAACCAGAATTCAAACCTGCCACCAGGGTGACTGGGGGGCCTGTCACTCCTAGGAAAGGCCCTCCCAAATTCAAACAAAGACAAACCAGGCAGTTCAAGAGCAAGCCACCAAAGAAAGGTGTTCAAGGGTGAGATACATTTTGCAGGAAGAAGGGAGTTCACTTTCTTTTAAATCAAAGCTGCCCAACTTGAGTTCCAGTCCCAACTGGCCCTTCAAAGCCACAATGTGACTTCCTTCCAGGGCCATACCCACAACTGCCATTCAATTGTAATGTATAAAGTATGATAGAAAAGAAACACATACAGGTAGTCCTGGACTTTCAACTGTTCATTTAATAAGTGTTCGAAGTTATAACAGTACTGAAAAAAGTGACTTATGACCAGTTTTCACACTTATGTCTGTTGCAGCATCACCACAGTCACATGATCAAAATTTGGGCTCTTGGCAAATGGCATGTATTTATGACGGTTGCACTGTCACTATTTGTAACCTTCCCAGCCAGCTTGTGACAAGCAAAGTCAATACGGAAGCCAGATTCGCTTAATGATCACAATTCACTTAACAACTTCAGTGATTTTTTTTAGTAACTGTGGCAAAAAAAGGTCATAAAATGGGGCAAAGCTCACTTAACAATGGCCTTGCTTAGCAATGGAAATTTTGGGTTCAATTGTGGTCGTAAATCGAGGACTACCTGTACATATTGCTTAGATATCTGTATGGGTGTTTCCCTGCAGTGTAGCTGCAGGCCAATTCCTGAACTCCCTTACATTATTTCTATAATTCTCTTCTGTCAAAAAGAATAACTTTTTTTAATGAGGACCCAGATTGTGGGGGCAATAAGCTGACTTTGTATAAATATACAAAAGTATGAAGGCTATTGCTTAACGCATTGTAAGCCACCCTGAGTCTCTGGAGAAGGGCGGCATATAAATTAAAGCAAAAAAAATTAATAAAAATCACCCAATTTATGTGCAACTGAATAAAGAGGTAATATTTCCATGAAGTGATCGTGCGTGGAAGCCAACATTTTAGGAACATAGTTTCTTTTTCTTTTGCAGGTTTGGTGATGACATTCCTGGTATGGAAGGCTTGGGAACAGGTATGAAGGATCAATTGATTACATTAACTGAAGTGCTGAAGTGAGAAAGTCAGGCTTCTGCGGGCTCCTTGCAGTTTATCCTTCTCCACATTGCTGTGGGCAGGTCCAGCTGTTTTCAGCCACGGATGGGATACTTTGGGCAATGTCACAACTCACATTGAAACCTTTCTACTGTCAGTGGCTTGCTTTCTTCATCTAAATTAACTGAATTCCCTCAGTAAACTGTGAATTCCTTGTTCCTGTAATTTTACTCCCTTACTATATTTTGGCAGTTATATTTCTGTTCTTTTTTATAACAAGCATTCTCTGGACGGGTTGCATACAAGGAATATAATCCTCAATCAATTTGTTTTAGGAAGGATCGACCATAGAACCTGCTCCAAAAAACAGGGAATTAGGCAGATAGTAGGCAGATCTGAGCAGAGCCAACACAATTCCACCAACTCCTCTTAACTGATTTGTATGATTATTGGTAGCAGCTCCAGACCAGCAGGTGCAAAATGGCCAGTTTCGGCCAGATTGCATTCATGGGTGTCCTCATATTTTCTTCTTGGAAGGGTTTTTTTTCATCAAGGATTACAACCGGAGCATTATATTGGATAAAGAACCAACTGCAAGTGGTTCTTGCACAGAAATTGGCTTCTGGGGGACATTAGGAAGGGGGATAGGGAAGTAAATGGCTTCAAAAAGTACCTGAGATGCTTTTACTCTTGATTATCAGACAATAATGAGTTTTGGCAGAGACGATGTGGGTACCTAGCTCAGAAGGCTCACCCCGATGAAGTCTAGCAGCACTAAGCTGCATGTGGCACATCTTTCATTTATTATTATTATCAAACTTTTTATTTGTACCAGTGTAAAGGGGCCAGACATCATCCTGAAGTATGATTTTTATTTTGCAATAACTTGTAGAGACAAACAGTGCTCCAAAAGCTGTTTTGGCATGTGTGAGAGCGCAAAAGTAGCACCTCTCTGAACACCTTGTTGCAGCCTGACAAGTGCTGGGTTTGTGCTTTTGCATGCTTAAGTATCTTTTGAAGGCTGGATCGAAAGCATTGTATAGACCTAGGAATACTATAAGCATCTCCCTAGCTATCATCCTATTCCAAAAATGCTATCAGAGACTCAGATACCTCTGTTATTCTTTTCCTCTCATAAATTCCTATAAAAGCACTTTGTTTGCAGCTGGGTTTTATGCTACACAGCAAGCTATGCTTCACTTAAGCACTGTTAGTGAATAAACCAAAATTTGATGGATTCACACAATCCATGAGTCAGATTACACATTAAGCTTCAATGCACATGAGCAAAGTCTTCAAGAGGTCCGAATAAATCTGTCTGCTTTCTAAAATGTCCTTATTTATTTGGCTAGGGATAACTATTATAGCCCATTTGGTTGTCTATCCTTTTGAATGGCTATATGGAAGTATTGAATTGTCATCTGTATGTAACATCTGCATTGATACTTCGATCAGATGGCAATAAGGTGGCTGTAGCCCTCAGTACCATTCCAAAGGACTCAAAGACTGACCATGATCCCATTCCATTGTCTGGTTTTTCTTGCAAGCTTTGAAGACATGTTAATGTCATCAGAAAGTTAATGCTGGCAAGAAGCAATAAGGGTTGAATTGATGTGGGCTCTTTTCTCTTTCAGATATCACTGTGATCTGTCCCTGGGAAGCTTTCAGCCACCTGGAGCTCCATGAACTGGCACAGTATGGTATCATTTGAAGATGTAGAAGCCAGAAACAGGCCGAATATATGCCTTTCATTCAGCAAGCAAGAACAGTTCATGAGCATTTGCATTATCCATATTCCTAGCCCTGCAAATTCACTCTCCCAGTAGCAGCCTGTTGGGGCCTGTAGCAATTGCTCACTAAAATAAAATCCAAGTGAATAAATCTTAGGCTTGGTTTCATACCATGGTTCCTGCAAGGATTTCCTCCCCTCCAATTAAACATTTGCAAAAAAAAGTCACAATGAACCAGAGTAATGGCTTCATTTTATACGCAGTAAATCCCACATTTTACAAGTCCGTCATTTCCTTCTAATCTGTTTTTTAAATCCTACTGTTTTTCCCCCACATGTGCAGCATCCCTCCTTTTTTTCTGGATCATCTGAGTGTCCATTGGTTGTAACAGGAACTATTTGTTGCCCAAGCCTGATATCATGGGTTGAGAAAGAGTGACTGACCCAAAATCACCCAGATGGCTTTCATGCCTAAAATGGGACTAGAACTCTCGCTTTCCTAATTTCTAGCCTGGTGTCTTAACCACTAAACAAAACTGGTCCTCTTTCCTTCTGATCTGTCCCTTTGATCATAAAAAAAGTTTAAGCAGTAGCTTACCTAACTGAAAACTACTGTAATATTCCTTGCTTAGGTAAGATGCCAGTAATTGAAGGTCCAGAAGATGGACTGCAGTGATACACCTTTAAGATTTAAAAGAAATCTGAATAATTACTGGTTTACATTTGCACAAAATAAAAATATTGAAAATGTTAATGTACGTCTCCTGTATAATCCTGGAGAGGAAACATTCAACTAAGAACAAACAGAATAAAGTGTTTGGACAAGATAGATATTTATTTAGATGAAACTCTACTTCCTTTTTAGTGGAGGAGAATGAATTCAATAGTGTTTGCTTCTAGATAAATGAATACAGAATTCCAGCCTCAATTTCTCCACCACACATAAAGCCATTAAGTTTTACAAGGGATGTCTGTACTACTGCTATGTAACAATTGATGCATTTAATTCAATGGGTCCAAAATATGACACAATAGATTTAAGAAGGAAAGTGTTATATATAATTAATGAAGAACCAAAACTATTTACAACCAGGACTGAATGAAGCATATGAGGAAAATATTATATTAAGGCAATATAAGTATCTTTGTAAAACTCATGTTTGATAAGATCAGACTTGGAATACTGCACCCAGTTTTGGTCATCAAGATACAAAAAAAGATGTTGAGACTCTAGAATGAGGGCAGAGAAGAGAAGCAAAGATAATTGGGGAGATGGAGGCTAAACTGTATGATGAACGGTTGCAGGAACTAGATATGTCTAATCTCATGAACAGAAGGACCAGGGATGACATGATAGCAGTCTTCCAAAATTTAATGGGCTGTCACAAAAAAGAGGGAGTCAACCTATTCTCCAAAGCACCTGAAGTCAGAACAAGAAATTATGGATGGAAACTTGTCAAGGAAACAACCAACCTAGAAATAAGAAGAAATTTCCTGGTAGTGAAAACAATTAAAGTCTTGCCTCCATAAGTTGGAGATGCTCCAACACTGGATGTTTTAAGAAGAGATTGGACAGCTATTTGTCCAGAATGGCATAGGATCTTCTGCTTGACCAGGGGATTGGACTAGAAAACCTCCATGGTCTCCTCTTAGTCTATTATTCTGTATTCTGTAAATTAGGTATGGCAAAGTACTAGCATTTGTGCCTTTTGCATTTGGCACCTCAGTATCTCCTGAGTGAAGATCTGCTACAATATGCAGTTGCTGTACTTTCACTTCAAAAAAGTGTGAGAAAGAATCAGAAGGGACAAAGTGTTCCTGTTTTTGCTTCTTGTTTTGGAAACCTGTACCTGGATTGGAAGTAGTTCCATATCAAAATCAGAAATGAATGACTTTGAGAAATGACTATGAATAATGAGTTACTAGATTTATAGGGAAGTGACCTGGGTGTAAAGGTCATCTGCTACATTATTCCTTTTTTTCTGACCATGTTTACAAGTATGTACAGAGTGAAGAGGTGACAGGAATTATCAGAAAACAAAGGGAACTAGGAGAATGAGCAAGATAAATACATGTGAAAAGCAGCTTTTGTTCCCCTCCCCCTATCCATTTTATCCTAGGTAAATTAACTAGTACAAATGATATTATATAATACTTTAGATTGATATTCCTCAAAAGATTATAAACACATCCATCTCTCCTAATAGAACTAATGCATGCCCTCCTTCCCGCTATAATGCTGAGTCCGAGCAGAAGCAATGCCTGCTAGGAGCCTCATGGCCAGAAACAGGCTACCTATTTCAATCACAATCAAAACTACAACAGAGAAGCCTATTGTTCCTGCGTGACTATTGAGCCACCTGTTTAACTGGGGAACACAGCCTCCAAGATAGATGGTGCTTTGAACTGCAAACTCTTCCATGCCCAGGGTGCCAAAGCCACACTGAGAATTCAGGATGGTACCATTTTCCAGTGGATTCAGACAACACGATGCAGGAACGCCACAGGCTTGCACACCTGGAGAAGTGCAGTTAAAATACCTATTAAGTTAAAAAAAAAGAGGAAGAAACATTTCATTCTTAAGTTCATCCCAAGGTTCATTTCCCAGGTTTTTTTTCAATATCTACTTCATCGTCCCAATGTAAACCAGATCCCATGGCCAATCTATCTGTGAATTCATTGGATCAAGATCTATATATGCAACAACAAGAAACCATTGCTACTGGGCAGGGGTGGGTTGTACTTACCTTTACTACCGGTTCGCAACAGGGCCATGTGCGCGCATGTGCAGAAGCTTCATGATTACATCGGGGTCAGTGGGCGGAGCCTCCCACTGGTTTTACTACTGGTTCTTGTGAATCAGTCCGAACCGACAACCCACCACTGCTATTGGGATCCAGAAAATCTTGAATCTAGCACAAATTGTGAAGATTCTATCTGTATCTCAGTTTACCTTTTTTCCTCTTCATCTAATGGATAGTTCGTAAAATCAGTTGTTAGACTGCTTGCTAGGACTCAAGCCTGCTGCAGTGACTCAAGGAGCGGTAAGTACAACTATAATTTCTCCTAAGGATTTGGCTTGGGTCAAAAGTCCTAACTATAAAGACGTGCATTAACCAAGGAAGTCTTTGAACAATGGGCTGAAACCAATTTTACCTATCACCAAAAGAATAATGTTCCTTGCAATATCTATTTATGTTTGGTTTCCAAACTGACAAGACCCAGTTCTGATAACACACCCTGAGTTCTTGAGATAGTGAAGGAGACTGAATTTAATCTCCACCCTCCTGTGCTGAACAGACAGCTGAGGTTGTTAAAGGTGACTGGGCAAAGAATGTGTTCACAGGCCTTATGTAAAACTCTTTTGCAATGAAAACTGTTTATTTCTACTCTTACTGTAATCAGAGATAATACATTAATCAAACAGATTAGGAATTATCTAGAGTATCTAACAAGTAAAGATGAAAACATATCACAGTGACTCCCCTATAAACAAAGATACTAATATTTAAACAGTACATATGGCCAACCAAAAGACTGATTCAAAACATAGAAAATGGGAAAATACCTAAACCAAAAAAACTAGAGAGGCTTGATTAACCATTCTCCTCCAGGGAAAAACGGAGGCAATACTGCTGAAGCAAAAGAGCCAGTCATTATTATCACACTGTTCTTTATCAGGATTATTTTAAGCATCTCAGAAAGAAAGAATGTCAAGAAAGGCAACAGAAGAGATACATGGGCATACCTTTATGTATAATGAAAACAAAGATTGTTCATAGCACATTTAACAGGAAGACAATAGTGACTTGTTATCTAGTGCTGCTATATAAGATGATATTTTATATGAAGGGGCAAGAAAGAGATTCCTGTCTCTATCTAACCAAACTAAGGATAAGGTGAGTAAGCTGCAAACCTACTAATAGTGTATAGGATTCCAGTTCTTATGGGTATGATCAGAGAGGATGGACATTATAATTCAACATATGTGGGGGACTACCGTGCCTAATGTTGCAGACTAAGAATAATCTGTTCTGGGAGATACTTTTCATCATAATGTGCAGTGCTGTTTATTTTAATTCTACAGGAATGCTCCCTTATATTTCCATGCAGAAATAATAAAATACCTTGCATTGTTTCTAGATGGAAATATATAGAAGCATTCCTGAAATCAAACAGCAAACCGAACCATCCATTCACTCATATTAATTATACAAAGCTTACTTTGACGTGAGACAATCCCTTGGCAGCAAAATTCCAGTGACATTAATTGAACAATGTTAAAATGAAAATAAAATTTACATTTTCCAGATTTCAGTGCTACAATTATATATCTCTCTCTCTGTGTGTGTGTGTGTGTGTGTGTTTGTCCATCTGTCCGTCTGTCCATCCATCTGTCCATCCCTCCATCTAATCATATTTCTAGATTGCCATGTTCTCCAAGGATTAGTTATACTTTTTTGCTTTGGCACACCTATCTTTCCTGGAAACTGATAATATAGGCCAAAAATTTTACTCACAAATTTGCTTTCCAGTCCAGATAAGACTTTACTCCACAGCATTGAAGACCTGATTGAATTTCATCCATAATGAACTGGAGATCTAGGTCGTCCTGGTACTGTAACATTGCCACCATAAGAACATTTTGCAAGGAAGCCTTGATGTGTTGTCTCAGAGAAAAGACAATAATTCCACTCAAAAGTTCCAAAACCAAAAAAAGTATTATTCCTCCAGTAAAAAGCTTCAGAAGAAAGAGGCTTTCAAAGAGAGCTCCTGTACAGCCCAAAAGGGATATAGATGTAGCTACTAGCCCCACTAATACAAAAAAAAGCATGGGGTCACTGCCCAAATATGTTATTCGTTCACTTTCCAGGGATTCCTTCTCTGAGAGCCCCCAAATTCCAATGGCCAAAATGAATAATCCTATAATGGAGAAAACTGTGTTCCAAATAAAGGTCAAACATTTAGCACAGTAGCTAAATGAATCCAGAGGAACATGGGAAGACTGATGAAGGAGGTGCCATTGTCTTGCTTGGTTCCAAGAATGACCACTTTCTTGTCCATCAAGGCTCAGAGGTGTGCCTTGTGCATTATACGAATAAGGCTTGTGATCATTCTAATAAACATAGAAGAGAATCAGATAATGGAAATTATATATCAGAAATAGGAAACAAAATAAGATAGAACATGCATTTTTCCTACAGTATTTGAAAGGCAATACATAACTGAACAACTCTGAAATATTTTTGTGTCAGTTTTTAAAATTTAACATTTTTACAATATGACCAGATTATTAAAAACAACAACCACAAGATTCATTTCTCTATGCCACCAGATTATAGCAATGAAGATGTTTGGGACCTCATGGGGATTAAGTATACCCTTCAATACATCTGGAATCTATGGCATGGATAAGGAAACTATGGCCATCCAAATGTTTCCTGACTTGAGTATGGCTTTTAACTCTAACTACTATGGCCAAAACTGAGTGTAATTGGTGTTATAATTCAACATAGAGGTAGTCCTTGACTTACAACAGTCTGTTTGGTTACTGTTCAAAGTTACAACAGCACTAAAAAGAATTATAACCATTTTTCACACTTATAACTGTTGCAGCATCCCTCTGGTCATGTGATTAAAATTCAGATGCTTGGCAACTGTCTCATATTAATAACGGTTGCAGTGTTCCACGCAGGGGTGGGTTCTACTTACCTTTACTACCGGTTCGCATCGTGCCCATGCGCACACTCTTCTGCTCATGTGCAGAAGCTTCTGCACATGGACATATCACCTATGATGCCATCCGGGTCAGTGGGTGGAGCCTCCCGCCAGTTTTACTACTGGTTCTTGCAAACCGGTCTGAACTGGGGGGCAACCTACCCCTGGTTCCACGTCATGTGATCCCCTTTTGCGACCTTCTGAGAAGCAAAGTCAATGGGGAAGCCAGATTCACTTAAGAATCATGTTGCTAATTTAATAATCGCAGTGATTCACTTAACAAGTGTGGCAAGAAAGGTCGCAAAATGAGACAAAACTCATTTAACAAATGTCTGAGCCCAACAAAAATTTTGGGCTCAATTGTGGATGTAGATTGAGGATTACCTGTACACTGAAGGCAATGATTTTTCTACTCGTGTCCTATTGTTCCATACAAGAGGAATAGATCTTCCATGTATATTAATTTCTGCTTTCCAGTGTTACTTATGTACTTTTGTACACTGCCTGCTCTAACGACTCTAGATGGAATTTGGTACAACCTTAGGAAAAAAAAATCTATGAAAGAATACAATAATTTGAATAAGGTACTTGTAATACCTCTCTCAACCATATTTTCTGAAATAATTTGCATAAAAAAGGAATTTCTAGCATTTTGCATATTTTAAAAAAAAAAGGACATATACCTTTATGGATGTCAACCTATTATTCGCTATACAGACTATTATTCTGAGAGAGGAGCCTAAATATATCAGTGGTTGGAAGTACCGGCAATGCTCATTTGTTAATCAAGACTGACCACTTGGTAGAGTGTGAAAGATTCTTGCCTGATGAGATTAACTATACAGTGTGATTGGAACGCATTGTGTCCAGGTAATCCATGGAAAATAGAACTGAATCTCTTTACAATGAGAAAACCATCTTTGTCTCAATACATCAGTCCATCCTACCTGGTTAGGCAGGGAACATATGATGCAGACCACATTAGTTAAAGAAGTCCAAATGGTGGTGTCCAAAAAGAGAGTCTTCTCTGTCATTACCCCTGCCCTACGGAACATTCTCCCCTCAGAATTGAGGCGGGCTGCCACCCTCCTGGCCTTCCAGAATGCTGTGAAAGCATGGCTCTGTGGCTTTGCTTGGGGCGCACAGAGGGATACACGGCTGTGAGGGTGATTAGCACCAAGAAAGCCCTCCCTTCACCTTTTAATTAATTTTTAACATTGTTTTTAATCATCCTTGCCTCTTTTTAAATTTTAACTTTTATCAATTGTTATGTGTGAATATTTTATTCCACACTGCCCAGAGTCCCTTTGTAAGGGAGATGAGCAGTTCTAGAATGTGATGAATAAAATAAATAATGGCCATTATAATATGCAAGAATTTAGAAGGTGAGTATTATCAAGAAACAGTAAGAAAAAAATCATGGGAAGGGGTGAGCATGCTGTCATTTATAAACAAAATACAAAGATTTGGAATGAGAAAAATGAGTACCAGTGGCATATTATTGTACATAAAATTCTTTTAAGATGTCACTTCCCACTTCTGAGAAGTTGGGGTGAGAGGCATGAAATTGGGGTGTTGCTTCTCAGTTGCAGGGTGGGTACTATATTCTGGGAAAGCCTTCTGGCATAGATAAAATTGGGCCTTCTCCTTGATGGCTTTCAGGAGGATGCTAAAGACCAAAATGTGTTGAAGTACATTCTTAGTTAAGTGGAACCCACTGTTTTTTATTTAACTATTTTATTTATATTGTCTTGTGTCATTCAATTTTATGATGCATTTTTCCATTTAATTTAAATTTACTATACCATGTTTTCAAACCAAATTAGCAGCAAGTCACCAAATTACCACAGAACATAAATAAGATAAATATATAGCGAATAGTTGTAAGGTGTCGCCATGTAACTATCTACCCATAAATGGTGAAAAGAGAGAAGAATGGAGTGGTTATAACAGAAAAGTCTCTATTTTGGCTACTTTATTCTCCTGGCTCTATTTCTGGAGGTCAGAAGACAATAATCCAATGTAATTTTGAATAAATAAATAAATAAACAAAAAAAAAAAACCCAGTCAAGGAAAGTAATTCTGGTAAATGTACTTTTTCTTAACTACGATGATTTTGGTGTAATAGTAAACATTGCCATGGTTTAGTATGTTGTATGAATCTGAATTATTCAGAAGTGCTGCTTTAGGATAAATATTTGAAAATCCTGAAAAAATATTGATGTTAAAAATCTTAAAATCACCTGGAATTGTTTAACTGAAAAAGTTATGTACATATTTGATTTTAGCTTTGCTTAGTATCGTATTTCCTCTGGCTACATAATTTCATTCAGCAAATATGCCCCCCCCCCCCCGAAAAAAAAAAGTCATGGACAAGAGAAAAAGATACTGATACAATAAGATATAATTTGAACTGAATAAGGAACAGTTTTAAATAAGTGAAGAGATGCAATATGAAAATTTGATGGTCAGGTTGACACTTGTATTGAAATATAGCAAAAGTAATATTGCCAAGAATAATAAACATAAAATAGGACTGAAAATAGCTCTTTGTCAGCAAATAACCATTTTTAATTTAAAAAGTTACTATAATCAAATAATCAAAATAAAAACGATTTTACCTTGATCATTTTTAAGGGACACTTATAAGAAAGTTAAGATGATTCAACATATTTATCTGAAAAAAGTGCGATAACATTCAGTGGGCTTTTACTTTTAATAAATATACTTGCTTACAATTTATTAATACTATTTCTTATTGGAGACTGCTGTAGGATGGATTAGAGAGTTGACACCTCTGAAGCATTTCTGTCACACTGCCTTACGCCTGCTTCTTAGGCAACGAAGAATAATCTCCCAGTTAAAAAACAAACACAACTGAAGAGTAACATCATATGCCAAGAACAAAGAGTCAAGATCTCCTTGGATAAAAGCTGAAACAAGGCCAACCTGTAACACAAATCCTTGTTATTACCTTTGATAGCAAAGCTTTTATTTCATCTTCTCCCATCTTGGTACTCGGAAAGTGAAGATACTTCAAGAAAGAATTCACAATTGTAATTGATTTCTTCATATTTAATGTACAGCATGAAATGGATTTGAAATGATTCCACAGCTCTTTGCAGTAGCCAGATAACAGTCCAACATTCATGTATGAGGAGAATTTTGGAATAGATCTACCACAGTCATACTTGCATCATGTGAGAAATCACATTTCTCAGCTTAAAAAGACTTGCTTTGTCTCACTTGCTGTAAGTATATTCATTAAATAGTAGTATATCATTATGCCTGTCAGCTGAGTGCATAGTACTGTATAACTATTAAGTCTATGTAAAACATTCAGATGGGATAGTTAAGGTTTACAATGCATAGAACTACAAATAAAACACCTTTCTTTCAATCTTTAAAGCAGCTATATCTTTTGCAAAGCTCCCAGGGCTAAATCATTTGAAAAGCTGCTTCCAATTATTTCACAAACATTTCAATACTTTGCATGACCTTTATAATTATATACAGAGGATGCACAAAAATGTGGTATTCTGGTTGCATCAATATGTTGATTCTGTAACAGATATCAACATAAAAAGCTCATTTATATTATATATGCATTTACCTTAATACATAATGTTACGGTGTTCCAGTGCAAGTATATTGTGAACAAGAGGCACATTAAATATCAAAAAAGGAATGTGTACAGATTGTAGAGTATCTGGCCTGATTCCACTGAATAAAATATGGATGTAGATGTGAATTTCCAAATTCAGTTGTAAATTTTCTGCATGGCGGAAATCAACCCATTCTCCCTCACCCTTGGTTTCCTATCTCTAAAGTAATAATAATGATGTTTAACCCTATTATCAAGAGGTATATTATATGAAACATGGTTTTTAAAAATCTTATAATTACAGTAATTTTAAACTGAATATTGGACTGAATATGTACAAGGCTATACAGTATCACCAAGAATCAAGACAACTTTCTCCATACCTACACAATCCAGGAAATTGTGATGTGCAGTGCATACAATATATTATTGTACTACTATTGACATGTACATTTTAAAAAATGATAGTTTTAGGGATATTTACAAGAGGGCTTACATAGTATTTGCAAACAGGTGTGTAAAGAAACACAATCCTGAATCTGCTAAACTTTTGCTGAGAGGAACCAATGGGTAATTTAAACACATTTACCTGGAACTAGATCAGTTTAATTAGTCTGCAACTATAATTGCAATAAATGAGTAGCTTATATTATATACTGATGGCTATAAAATTGTTTAGAGAACAATTGTATCAAGTGTAATGTTCCAAAGAATAGTTTGAATGTTGAACCAAACCATTTTTCAATTTTTTGTCAGAATGACAGTGTGTTGCAAATGCATGCTTTGATCAGTGTTTCTCCTTCCATGAATTGTTATTAGCATTCACCTATCACATGTGGGTTTTTAAATTTTGGGCTTAATATGCAATGTGAATTTAGCCATAATGATTTGCAAACAATGGCTTATGATTGTGTTTTATACAATGCTTCTAATTAAATGTTCTATGGCTTACCTAAATATGTATAGCAAGCCATACACAAATAAAAAGTAATGTTGACTACATAACTACATTTCCCTTATTGATATATCAGTTTCACTTTTACACATGCACAGAAGACAATCTAAATTTAAATTCTATCTAGATATGATATAACTTCATTTTCAAAGGCTGCTGAAAGTATCCAGAAGATCTGAAATTAAAGTAGCCATACTCATGCATCACATTAACCTTTTGTCTTAATCATAGTTTGTTGACACACTATATATTAGCTAGGACTAGGTACACACTACAACATGAATCATAAACATGAGTCATAAACCAGTCACAAGCTACAAAGGTTAAATTCATTCATCACAACAGAATGAAAATATAATACGCTTATTAAGATAACTCATACATAATTCTGACAATCTTATGAGGAATTATTGATCCCCATATGACAAAACATGGTCTGTCTTGGTTGTGGCTTATTCACCAAACCACATCAAAGCAAAGAAAAAATTTTTAGTTCGATATTCAACCCAAGTAATTATTTCAAGTAAGATCACTTCTCAGTAAGCAAAAAATGAGTTTTGAGTAGAAAGTAGCTTTCCTCAGACACCCTGTTTGAAGCAACTTTGTGGATAGTAAAAGTTTGGCAAGTGCGGGGTTCGGTTTTCTTAACTGCAGACTCAAGACCCAAAGGTGTTTTTTCAAGAGGCAACTGGGCTTTCTGGTTTTTTCTTTGAAGACATTTCGCTTCTCATCCAAGAAGCTTCTTCAGTTCTGACTGGATGGTGGGGGAATGGAAGGATCCAGTCAGAGCTGAAGAAGCTTCTTGGATGAGAAGCGAAACGTCTTCAAAGAAGAAAACAGAAAGTCCAGTTGCCTCTTGGGAAAAAAGAGCACCTTTGAGACCTGGATGACTGAGAATCTCCACAGACCAGTGTTTCTCAACCTTGGTAGCTTGAAGATGGGTGGACTTCAACTCCCAGAATCCCCCAACCAGCAGCGCTGGCTGGGGGATTCTGGGAGTTGAAGTCCACCCATCTTCAAGCTACCAAGGTTGAGAAACACTGCCATAGACATTGCAGACTCGAGACTTTACGGCTTTTTGTGCCGTAAGAGGCTAAGCTGCTCCCTTCCCCGATCTTTTTGCGCAGAGACGCGGCTCCGGGGGCGGGGGGGGGATGGGAAGAAATCTCTCGGACAAAAAGTCTGTAGAGATTCTCAGTCATCCAAGTCATGATTGAAAAGAAGAAAAAAACACAAAAAAGTTCAGAATTGCCTCCTTGAAAAAGAAAAAAAAAGGACTTCTGGGACAACAGCCGAGAAGCCACTAGGCGGAGCCATCGAATGGCGGGGGGAAAGGAAAGAGAGGGACGAAGACGCAGCATGTTCTTCGGGGCGGACCTTTTCTACCCGGAACCTTGTTGCTTCTCCTGCGCTACCGGGCGGGAACGGTGACGCGGCAGTATTGGCGGCGCACGAGCAGCGGAGAGGGGCGGGTAAAGGGGCGGAGCTGCCGGACGAGGGTCGGAACGGCGGCAAGGATATGGCGGAGACCATTGTAAGTTCAAGGCTCGTTGAGGGGGACGAAGCCAGGGAGGGGGAAAGCGGGGTGGTGGTATCTCCCTCCTCTCTTCCCTCAACTCCCCCCCCGGGGGTGGTTTCCCTCCCTCCGGTCTTTTGTCATTGTGAAGCCGGGGGGGGGGGGAGTGGGGGAGGAAGGAAGGCGCCGCGCTCAGGGCTCCCCCTTGGGCTTCCCCAGCGCCTGCCCGGCTGGGGGCTGACAGCTCTGCCTAGTTGGGAAGATGGGAGGCACCAACCCGCGGTGGGGTTTATTTTCCTATCCCGTCTTCCTTGCTAGGTTTGTGGAAGAGCAAGGGGGAATTGCGGGGACCTCCCTGAATAGGGGGGGGGGGGGGGGGCTGCAGCTGAAGATAGCGGCTCTCCCCTCCCCACCTCCATTGAGTGTCATTCCAGAGGGGGAAGAACTCAGCACATCACAGCTTTTCAAGCCAGTTTCGTTATATATTTTTTTCTTTCTCCCCCTCCCCTCCAAAAAAAAAAAAAAAGTAGTGTGACTGGGCAAGATGGACCAGAAATGAACAATTTTCAAAAGCAACCCCCCCACCCCTTTCTCTGAAGAAAATGTGTGGATATATAGCATGGATATATGTCCAGTAAATTGGACTGGCTTAACAATTGGGGTCTTTCTCTCTCCTTAGGGCAGGATATATGGAAAGAAAATGAAAAGCTGAGGATTTGGTACAAACACATGATACGTAGAATAAGAATCTTATCTCTAGAGATTTTTTTTCTCTCTTGAAATACTGGACTACTTATATATAATTATATAAATACTATAATTCCAAGATGATATGTTCCTAGGAATTGTAGTCTAATACATCTAGAAGGCAACAACAACAACAACTTGGAAAAAGCTGACAAAAGTTTCTGTAACTCTATCTGAAGTTTTTCCTTTCAAACCCTAATTATTTTGAATCTAGGTTCAATATTAACATTACTTGCAATAAATTAAGATAGCTACAGCCATAGGATATATGACTTCCTGCCCACATTCCCATAATTATTGTATCACTTTGCATGCCAGACAGCATAAATCGGTGGATCACTTGTTTTGGATTTTTGACAGTAAGAAACTCCTCAGTGAATAAGTGAAGCTTTGACTATGCTAGAAGTACTTCAATACTTGCTTTATATTAACAGCATTTAAGAGGTATCTACAATGTTTTTCTTATCTGAATTGGCAAAGGTGAAAAACTCTTCCCTGTCCTTTATGATCAGTGAGAAAGTTTAGTTAAGGCAGGGGTGGCAACTGTGGCCCTTTTACAACCTGTGGACTTCAACTCCCAGAATTCCTGAACTAGCCAAGCTGGCTCAGGAATTCTGGGAGTTGAAGTCCACAGGTTGTAAAAGGGCCACAGTTGCCCACCCCTGAGTTAAGGCGTACTGAAGAGTAAGCAGGTCCTACCGTGGTTAAAAGCATGTTGCACTTCCATCTTTCTTTTCTATCAGATTTTATTTTAATAAAGAAATAGATAGAAAAATATGTATTTAGCAGGACCAATCCAAATTTTAAAGTTCTCTCTTGGCAGCTAAATTTGTATAATATTTCATAAAATTGGACAGCACACGTTTTAATAAATTTAGGTCTATTTGCCTTGTTTTATATTAATGGATTGTCAATATCTTTGGTATTAGTACTGGCTACATTGTATTTGGCTACATTGATACAATTAGTTATATATTGCAAATTGCAGGCAATTTGAGCAACTTTGGCAGGTAATCTGTAGCCTTCCATCTCAGCAGCTAGACTATAATATGAATCAGTTTGATTTAAATTCTGCTTTTAGTTGAATTTAATCAGTATTTTGATACAGTGCTTTACAGAATCTTTAGTTTTCTTTTAAAACAGGGTGTCCTTGTGGTATCCTTTAAGCCACTTATACATCCATTCAAA